TCACCTCAAATGTGGTGTATAAAAATTATAAAAGGTTGGTTTAAACACCCCCAGATTTGTTGGCAAGAATTTGTAAAGTAAACCTGTCGAACGCAAAAAAATTTGGCGTGATTTGTTTTGCAAGAATTTGTTTTCGAGGCCTAATCTACTGTGATCTTGAATGTGATCGAAGATGTTTGCTATTTTTTGGGCGTACATATAAGGTTATCAATTTGATGTAAGATGTTTCACTCTAAAATAACTTAGCCTTTCCCTCAAAAGTCACATGAATGTGCCCTTAAGTTGAATGATTTGTGGATTAAAAGTTTGTTGTTTAATTTAAATTATAAATTTATTACAATTGGAGCTTCGCTTTTAGCCCTGGCTAAATCTATATATTATAGTACTGTATACCTCTTTGCAGTATCTTCTTTATGAGCCATCAAGTCTGCGAGGTCACTGGTCATTTCCTTCTGGCTGCTGTGACACACTGTTACTGCACCTTTTCTGAAGAGTGTGCTGTGGATTGGTCCTGCAGTTATATATTATAGTACTGTATACCTCTTCGCAGTATCTTCTTTATGAGCCATCAAGTCTGCGAGGTCACTGGTCATTTCCTTCTGGCTGCTGTGACACACTGTTACTGCACCTTTTCTGAAGAGTGTGCTGTGGATTGGTCCTGCAGTTCCAGCCTTTTTCCAAACGGACTGAATAGCTTTGCTAATTTGGCCTGATTCGAATTTCTTTCCATTCCAAGATGGGAACAATGGTTGTTCTTTCTCTGCTGTAATATAGGGCAGCTTTGATCTCACTTGTCTTAGAACTCTTTCTATCCAAAGCCTTCTATGATTTTTAATTGATGATTCTTTCACGGAAAAGACAAGCCAAATCTTGGATGCTGTCAATCACTCCCAGAATCTTAAAAATCTGGACTCGATGCTTCTCGCATGTAATCTTGTCGGGTGTAGACAAAACCTGGGCCTGGCCCATGGGCTAGCCCATGGGCTAGCCCATGGGCTACCCTATGGGCCACCCTATGGGCCACCCCAAAATTTAAAAAATAAATAAAAAAAATTAAAAAAAAAAGAGATCGCACGAGGCTTTAGGCAGTAAGGATTTAATCGCTTTGTTTGCTACGTGATTTAGTATTGAGAATGGCTCGTTATTTGTTCGTCGCGTAAGCAATTGAGGTGAGCATTACTTTGTTAATAATGGTTCAATAGCTGATTCTCCCCTATGGGGGAATCCCATAGGGGGAATCGGCTATTAACGGTCTTGAATTGTTGGATTTGAAAAGGGCTTGCTTAAATAAACACTTAGGCTGAAAAGTTTGCCGACTGAAAAAACGATGGGACCCCAATTTTTTGTGGGAAATCGAATGACATGATTGTCGTCCGTGACAAACTGAACAAGATAATTCGGTGTTATCGTTTATGGTTTATGCTTTTCACAGCGACAACGTTTTTTTCAATTAGGTATATACATGACCCACCCCCTAAAAATCTACCCTACCTAGCAATTCCACCCTTCTAAGAGCTTTATTCAGTCAGAAAACCATCATGACCCACCCCCTCTAGGGGCTCAAAGAAGAAATGACCCACCCCTTTGCCAAGGCTCAAAAATTGCTGAACTGCCTTTTTTTTGCTCCAGCCGACCCCACCCCCTATACTTTTTTACCAGTCCATGAAGAGACTAATGGTAAACACAAATTCTCATTTTTTTAAATAATTGTAAAACACAAACGTTATGTACAATACCAATAAAACAGAATGTTGACCGGATCACGTGATCTCCTAGGTAATGATAAAGAAACTGCGAAAACTGAAGAGATTGTTACACAGAGATTGTTACCTAGTTGTATACTTATTTGACATGAAACAAAACTAGTTGAGTCTTTCTTTTAAAATTTCTATGTCGCCGCTATCTAGGGAACTCAGAATGTTCACTTGACTGGGGTCAAAGTGTGGATTTCTTGCCCGAATGCAATTTCCATATAAATGGAAGTGTTTGTTCTCAAATGTTTTTTTGTACTTCTGTTGGCTCTCGATCCACACAAGGTCGTGCTCTTGGTGGCGAATGCAAAATTTGTTGTCGATGTCCCCCTAGAGAAATTGTCTGGCCCATCTCTGATGTTGCCCTTGCATCCTGCTGCACATTTTTTAATTCGTGTGGTGAGTCCAATTAGTTCAAAAGGGGTGTTCATTGTGGGTTGTACTGCTGGCTTCGGAGGCTTGCTTCTTCTAAATGTTATTCTAAGCGGTTGATTAGAAGATGTCTCAGCGGTATATCTTGATGCCGATCGATCACCACTTGCCATTAGATCTCCAAGCGTCTTTGTTTGTGTGTTCCGTCCTAACTGGCTTGACTGAGTCATAACGTCCGGCGACTTATTACGGCGCATTCTTGCTGGCTTTTTTTGGCACCCCGCACTTTTGTTAACCGCAAACGTTGTCAGTGCAGTCAAGTTGTCCTTCTTTTCTTGTTGTTGATACCATTTTACATAGCCCGTAACGTTCCTGTTGTGAGCAGCAACTGCGACAGTGTGGGCACAAATTTTCGCGACTTGAAGCCCAAACACTGCTTATCGCAAACATATCCGTTGTCTGCAAGTCTTTTCACCATGTGGGGCGTTTGCTGAGACTCACTTTTCACGAGAAAACAGTTTTTTCAAACCCAGCACGGATGTTTTTTTCTCGACAAAGCCTCTGCGCCTTCTCGCCAAGCAGCCGCAGATTTTTTCTGTGAACAAATCTGACAGAGCATTTAAGTTAATTGCAGCATCTTCACGATTCAGTTGAGATTTTGGCGGAGCAGGTCGATGGCCGTAAACTTTCTTGAAATTTTCTGCATCAACATAGGCTTTTAAATTGTTAGTGGCGTTATCGCGATCACCAGGTTGTTGGTCAAAAAGGTATCAGTTCCTTTTACGGAGCCTTGGTACTCAGGCCTCAGTATATACGGGCTTGAAAGCCCCAGCAATGCCCGTTGAACATCACGTCGCTGTTTGGTGATGAGGCCCCTACAATCCTCGATAAAACTGGCCATGTCTGTGGCTTGGAAGTCTTGCCATCGTTTGAGAAAAGCATTTGCTGACTCTGAAATGTTGTTGGCTTGTACTTCGTCCTCAAAACCCGCATTTTTGATGCTTTTCGCTGTAACGTGGTTCCAAATCTCCTCTGCCTTGTAGCGTCTGAAATATTTGGAAAACGCGAGTTCCTCCGGTGAGTCCTTGAATTCCTTGCGGTCCCATTTTTCGGTCAACGAGTTTAACTTTTGGTTGTACTCCTCGTAGGAGTCGGCGTATACTAGACCCCCACTGCCAAAAATGTCATGAACTATCTCATTCGTCAGCGACTGGGAAAACCGAAGTTTCCGACATTTTTCCTCAATGTTTTTCTGTGCGTGTACTTTGCAAAGCAATGATGCGGAGTTGGGAAACACCTGGGCTAGTGCTTGACGCAGCGCTTCCTCTGAATCAGTGCAATACCCCTTAAGGTTTACTTGCAAACCTGGTACTTGGGCGGAGATTTTTTGAAACAAAGTCAGGTAGGTAGCCTTGTCTTTCAACATACACAGCATTACCGGACCAAGCATTACTGGACACGTTGGTGGATTACTGCGTTTCGTGAAAAGTGTCGTGTTTAGGTAGGTTGTCACCAAAACAAAGAAAGGTCCCAGTTGAAACGTCACGTCTACGTACAGCAAAGAGGTGTGCCCGTGGACCTCATTACAGCAGAAGTTTACAATGTCTTCAACCTGTTCATCCATAAACAGGATAACTTTAGGCGACTCATCGTCCAGGCTGTATCCTCTGGTAAATTTCTTATCTTCGGTTTTCATCTTTTCCGTGATCTCGAAAATTGGATCGGCAATACGCCCTTTACTGTTTTTTTTTTTCTTTCAGATATTTTGCCTGACGTTCATTCCTTGGCAAAGCCCCAACGGAATTACAGTTGGCTATGTCTCCCACTTCCATTTCTACTTCGTGAATAGCTCTCTTTAAGCCTTTACCTTTTTGGTTTGCATTTTTTCTAGTGTCTTTACGCGTGCTCTTATAGGTTCTTAGATAAGGGATACTGCACGATTTCGGCGTTGCCATGGTGCTTAACTTTCACTTCATGCTCTGGAGCATTAACGAATTCATATTTTACGAAAACGATGTTGTGGTGCTTTCCATCTGGATGGGTAATGTCAACTATCGTCTTGTGCAGAGACCTGTCACTCGCATTGACAAATGGACGGCGGCACACTACAAATGCATCAGGGGAGTTGTCACCCACTTTAACTACTTTCTGAACTTTGCCGTTTATATCACATCTCGTTTCGTACCATTTCTTCTTTGTCTTTGTTTGATTCCAGGAGCCAAGATCGTCAGAGAGTAAGTCTTCACAGTCGTTAAGTTCGTCAAGATTTATTAAAAATCTAACGTTGTGCTTGACTCGAACAGGATTTGACGTCGCTATAAACTCTTTGTAACACTGTTCAGCGTTGAGAAGTAGAGCCACGACTGAGTTATTAGAGGAAGATTTATCGAGAAGACTAGTCGGCAGACACGGTAAAGATTGTCTGTTAAAGTAATACTTGATGATCTGGGCTTTGGATAATTCACTTTTGTTCCTGTGGAATGAAACAAAATAATGTAACCCTATTGGCAATAGCTATTTCCAGAATCAAGTAAATTGGACATAACAAATCTACACAATTCTAGCATGAAAAGTTTGATATTTGCCATGCGTCTTACCGAAACAGTCCGAAGTTTTAAAACTGCATGCATTTCACAACTTGCCTGATTCTGATTGTTGTTTTGTTTGTGAAAGTAACTTTGTTTTCAGTACTGGTATCTAAACAGACATACTAATGCTTACCTGTTCTCTTCTGTGTTCTCTTCTTCGCTTACAGACGTTTGAGCCCTGACAGAAAAATGCCGCTATAAGTAAATTAAGGATCGAGCCAGCGATATGGTCATCGAAACTGGTCAGCGGAGTCCTTGTTTAATTGACAATGACGTCAGTCAAACAAGGCATCCACTGACCAGCATCACATGACAATAGCCCACTTGCAAAAGGAGTCGAAGATTGGGGCGAGAGTAGACGCGCTGAGTTGTGGGATCGTTTGGGGGCGCACTTAAACGTAATCTGAAACGCACGCGTGCGCCCCACACGATCCCATAACTGGCAAGAAGTTGAAACCTGACGGAGTAGCTGAACTGCCCTACAAAACTACAGTAATACTTACAGTTCTTCCACGGAAGAAGCCTCTGCAGTATCACTATCTTCCGAGTCTACACTGTCACTGTCTTCAATGTCACATTCCCCACTTAATAAACTGCAATGCTCCACCTGTGTTGGTTGTGCCTCTGATTTACTCTTGTTTGACTTTCGTTTCATTTTCTTCGTTTTTCTACTTTTGGCAGATGTTTTAGACGGTGATCTATCGATGCAGATTCTAACAGGCGATGCAAGCTGAAATAGATAAGATTAGCCATTAACAAAACGCTGCATTATTTCTGTGAAGTGTTTTTGCAACCCCATTACGTGAGACGAAGACTTCTAGTGTTATAAACTTCTGATGGGCCTGACATTTTTTTGCCTGATTTATTTTTTATTAATTTTCAAATTTTGGGGTGGCCCATGCATAGGGTAGCCCATAGGAATTCTTCGAGAATACTTCGGTAACCTTCAGAAGTCTGTTCTAAATTGGTCAAAACAGAACACTACAGTGTAGCGGTAGCTCGTATTTTCGCAATAGTGGAAAAACAACGTTCTCGTACCTTTGAATACTTGTAAGATCCTGTAGGAAGCACAGGTTGACGGGACAATACTCCTCTTCCTCCCATGATTCAAAGACTTTGGTTCTTTTCTAAAATATAGAGATCGTGAGAGAAGTAATGTAAAACTGAAAAGAGAATGCAATATATTGTTGCAGTATGTGCACATGGGGCATGCAAAGCGGCGTAAATAAATGTTTGACATTATAATAAAAAAAAAAATGCTCCAAAAAGGAATTCAACGTAAAACTCTGCAAAGCCCGGAGCACAGTCTACACATCTTTATTTTTACACATTACATGCGATCATAACCACACTCTGGCGGCTATTATAAACCAAAATGTTATACCTCAGCACGTGGGCAGTGTCCGAACCCTGGTGTTGGTGGTAACTCCTCTCCTTCGAACCACTCGTTTCAAAGTCCTGATACAGGAAAAGTGAAGAATAAAATTAACAACAGTTATCCTATGCAATTAAAAGGGTGAAAAGGGAACAAGGGTGGAGGGTAAATAATATTGATGTTATTATGTTACCATTGCGACAAACTGGGTTCCAGGCCCCCTTTTTAGGGCTTTTCTGGCCTTAATAAGACTTGCATTTTAGTATTTCAAGGTGATGCCTCATTTTCCTGATCAAGCAAGGATATCATTGTATTCAGTAGACTTCTTTTTTGGACTTCATTTTTCTCAGCTAAAAACCATCAAAAATTGGAATCAGGTCTATAGGGCCTGGAAACGAGTAAGTTGCCATGGTAACTGGATTTTATTATATCAGTATGTGTGTCACCAAGTTTCAATTGTTTCTGCCAAAAATTGACGAAGATAGCTCCATTGATATAATAAAGATCAATTTCGATTCAGTAGATGACGTCATCAGTTCCTAATTTGCATATTTTTGTGCATTTCTTAAATCTAAAAAAAGATACAGTACTTGAAAACTGTTAACAGCATTTAACGCTAAATGATGCCATTAGAAAATCAGACAGGAAAAATTTGATCATAGTACCACTTTAATAATTGGATTGACAAGACTCACCTGACTCTTACTCTTTTCCATATTTTCTTGTAACGTGTTTTCGCCAGGCTGCATTTCCTCCTCTGCTTCATCAGAGCTAATGGAAATGACGTCTTGTTCTTCATGAAACAGATCATTCTGTAGGAAAAATGGTAAAATGTAACTGCGTTTACTTTTCAGGGGTTGAGGGGGAGGGGTGGAGTGAGGGGTAGAGGGTGAGGGAGAGGGGTAGGGGGGCTTAGGGGTAGGGGTAAAGGGTGGGAGAGGGTAGGGGTGGGGAGTGAAGTTAGGGGTGAGGGCTGAAGGGTACAGGGTATGGGGGTAGGGGTGGGGATGATGGTAAGGGGATAGGGGGTGAGGGGGGAGGGGTTGGGGGTGTGGGGTAGGTAGATAGTTATTTATGGTTAAAATTTTCACACGGATTTTGTATTCTTCATCCAAACATACTATACAAACATTGTAACCTTTAAGAAATAATAGATTTTTCTGGCAGCTGTTTTAAAGAGTTTTAATCCTGTAAAGTCAATGAGAAAGTTGATCCAAACTCTATCATTAATTCGCAAATATATTAATACATGAATAAACCAACCTTTTCCTGCTGGCACTTTTCTTTTTTCACATGTACATCATTCTCGTCTTTTATACTTTCATTCTCTGCTGGCTTCCTGTCTACTTTGACACATGGTTTCGCTGAACATGGAACCTTTGTTTTATCGGCGTAAGTTTCAGTTTCCTATAAAATTGAAATAAGATTATTATTCACCAGAGTGTTTAATTTAATTTTGCTAGCAAGCTAGCCTTGATCTTTTCTGTGTGTTATCAGGGGCCAAAAATTGGTCTCATATTCTTCCAATATTGCCCCCACCCTATGTTCATATAAAGTATTATTTATTTTCATCCCCACCCCTTACACCTCACCCAGAACATCTACTGTAGTGATGAGCGGAAAATTTACAGGGCACAACGGACCGAGTTGAAAGTAATCAATTTTGGGTAATATAGTTACCTTCTGCTTAGGCTTTATTGACATATAGTGCTCAGCATCTGCATCATGGCCAAAGTAAAGAGTACCAAGTTTTACTCCAGTTCTAGGCACTTTGCTTTCAACACATTCTTTAGTGTCCTTAGAAAGAAAAGAAACATATATTGCAAAGGTCAAAATTAAGGTAAGAACAAGGTCATACCCTAAGAAGAAGTTAAAAGAAGAACTCAAAAGAGAAAAAAAGGTCACCCTTTTGCACATCTGGATTTTTGACTGCTTTTTACTTCAAAAGTACCACTGGTGTGATTATGTTGAATAGCCTAGCTACAGGTATAGGTTTGACTATAGGTTTGATGTCTGTTTTCTCATTGTATCCATGGATACCATGAGAAAAAGATCTGCTCAGCCAGCCAGGCTGCAGATAATAATGCACCTTTAGTGACAGCAAAAATCTTTCTTACCTTGCGTACTGTCACTATAATGACCTCGTAATGGGTAACTTCAACAAATGCTGTTATTATCATGTCATTGGCATATTCTCCTCTCAACTTTTGAAGGGCAGCATTCCAGTCGAGTGGTTTTTTCTTGTCATGGAAATCCTCTTCACAGAGGAAGTCCAATTTGTCATTTCCAGAATCCTTGAAATGAAAATTGAAAATTTTTAAGCTTAGTGCATAAATAAATCAGATACTTTCGTTTAGTTCAACAAACTCTCTCGTTGATGGGCACTCAGACACTCACGCAGCCCCCGAACAGTTTAGTTCAAAATTCTAGGTGTATTGTAGATTGTCATATCTGACGCAACATTTTTAAACAGGCTTTCAAATGGAAGATATGAGGCTTCTAACATGAACAATTTTCTTCCTTTAAAAGCAAATAACTTGAAATCAAAAATCAAAAAATCGGCTTCAGATATGACACAATAGAGATCAGTGAGTGGTGAAATCAACTTGCTTTTTTTTTTTTCTTGAGTAGCTTAACTTGGACACAAAATCACGTTTCACAAATTTTAACTTATGAACATCGCAACATTACCGTAAAAGCGCGTTTCATTGGATAAAAAATAATACTGGTAAACTCTCACCACTCCCCAATATATCTGTTAAGTTCTAGCGAGTTCAAAATTGACACCCCTACCCAAATTTTGCCTTATGAACGCGTTTAATTTTGCCGAATGTTTCGCCAAAGACCGCAGCTTAAAAAGTGCACATCTGGCCGTCATTTGCTTGTCTGTATTCCATAATGTTTTCAGAAAATCAAATAGTCACAAATGATCACAAAATCCTGCTGTCGGACAACATGAACATGAAACATGAACAACATATTTCGCCGGAAAAAAATTTTCCCGGGCGCCCACTCATTTAGGACATAATGACACCTTTGTCTTTTATTCCGAAATATCTTTTTTTTTTACTTAATATCTCCACACGCTTTTCAAGACTTTCTTTGAACATTTTTTTCTCTGAATATCAGAAAATTAACTTCCACTGAGTGAAAATCATTTTGATTTTTGTCACTCTAAAAACTTTAAAAAACCTTAAAAAATACAAGATAGGTGATCGTATCTGACTTGCGTCAGCGACTCGCGTCAGCCGTCTCGCGCCAGCGCCAATTTCTCAAGTTTCATTAAGGCCTGGTCAAACGGTGCATGATTGTTGATGATTGTTTTGCGTTGGAAACTATCATCAACAATCATGCACAATCATGCGGGTGGTCAAACGACTTAAACCAAAACTTCCTAAATTAACATTAACAACATAAGCTGAGCGCCGACGTGTGTAGCATTGCCCGTGTCAACAAATATGCCCAGCAAGTATATCACTTTGGTTGCATGTCAGCTACCGCCGGTACGATCGGCAGTTGTAATTCAGGTTGTCAATTTCAAGGCTAGATGCTGGTAAAAAAAGCTGTCACTTAACAAAACAGACTTATCTTTATCGTATTTAAGGTAAGCTATAAATACTTACATCGTATTGATTAGCCTTGAGGTGATCAAAGACTACACTCTTCAGCATTTCCAAAGGAATCTTTAAGGCCGTCGCAGCTGAAGAATAAAAGCAATTCCCGTCCACAGGCGGGTTAAATACGACATCATATCCGAGTTTCTCAAATTTACTCCCCATATCTAAAGAGCAGTGGACTATATTACGAGTAAACTGAGCTATATATATGAACGTACTCCCGAGTTCGTATTTGTGTTCCACGTGCAATCGATGTGTAATGTGATGTGAGAAGTCGAGAACAAACGCGCTAGCTTTGCCTTAATATTTGTAATAATTATTGTATTAACTAGCTAGAAATAGTTGACACTACAGCTATCAAAAGGGGGTGGTAGGCCTACACGACTTTTACCTCATGTCAAAATGCTGCTTATTCCAATAAAGTTGTTTTTCTCTGCTGGGTAGATTATGCTCTGGAAGGTTCTGCATTTTACTGAGCAAATGTGGTTTTAGCCGCATGTTTCACACTGAGAGGTCATGACATATATATCGATTGACTGTAGTTATTGTTTTCTGGTCGGCAGGATTTGCCCTCTGATGCAAGCGCATTTTCTCTTTTGAAGCGTAAAGCTTTTTTATTTCGGCTGAATAAGGTTTTCAATTTTCTCCAAAGTTCCTTATGGATCTGATCTAAGCGATTTTCTTTAGTCCGTGAGCGTAATGTTTTTCTGCAATGCTGTATCACGCTGGGCCCAGCTCGTCAGTTTTCTTTGCAGAATTTTAAATTATCACGGATGGTGACTTACAGATCCAAAATTATAAGAGTGAACTGCAGCTTAAACTGAAGCTACATAAACTTACTATGGAGAATTGAATTGTGACTCAGTAAACTCCAGCTTAGTGTTTTTCTAAGGATAGTGTGAGTCTTTTGACTGGAGCGCGTAGTTCCTCCCTTGGTAATAGCTTTGAATAAGCTTAACAGTCTTTAAACTGTTTTGTTATTGCCACAGTTTGTGATCAGGCAAGACCATGGTTTCGGTTCTCCTCACGAACCTCATCAGTTGCCGGGTTGGCTTTGTGCTTAGTTGCTTTTGCAGGAGCAACTTTAGTTGTACTTTGTTGGAATAAGCAGCATTTTGACATGAGGTAAAAGTCGTGTAGGCCTACCACCCCCTTTTATTGTCACGCAACGCACAACAATTTGCATATAGATTCTAAAGCCTCGTTTTCGTGCCTCGAGGTCGTGACGGGTAAAAAACGTCGTTGGAACAGCGCGTGCGTAGAAAAAGGAGTCAACTGTTTTTTCTTCTCTTATTATTTTTTTTATTTGTTATAATTTTATAATTTTAAATTAAAATTTATTTTTAAATTAGGGGTGGCCCATAGGGTAGCCCATAGGGTAGCCCATAGGGTAGCCCATGGGCTAGCCCATGGGCTAGGCCCAGGTTTTGTCTACACCCAATCTTGTCTAGGTTCCCTCCATCCGCCGACTGAAGCCAGGCTTCGAATTTGATAATAGCCGGTGGTATGGTTGCCTCTGAATCAACTGAGCCATCGACCTCTCCCACTTCTTCAGCCAGTGTTTCTTCGTCTTCGTTATTGATGACCCCTTCTTCCGGGTCAGACATTCTTGGTCTTTTATGATATGGAGCCATGTGTGATTCTTTTATCGGCCCTCATACTCTTGACAATCCTCTGATGTAGGCATCAGAGCCTGCCTTCAAGTTGTGTACCTTCTTTAAGTGAGGTGTAATTCTCTTAACCAAGGAAGTACACCCATCAACCGGGCAATAGCGATAATGATGATAATCGTTTGGCTTTGAATCTGCCTGAACTTTGTCATCAGTGTCATCTATCTTTTCTGTCTTTTTTTTCTTTTTAGGTGCTTTTCCTGGGCTTGTGAACGTGTACTTCTTCCTCATACCGAATCGCGTCAAAGCCGTTCTCGCACGTTCCTTTGGCCAGCCATGCACATCCTTTAGGTGCCGAGGGAGGTGGACAACTTGTGACCCACATGACGGTACAGGACAAGTTTTTTGTGGGCGATGTGTGCCTGAATCCAAGCTGTTTTTCCTCTTACGGTTATTCTCCTTCTTTATGCTTGCAGGGGCCTTTAAAGAAAAATTAAAAGAAAAAAAAAAAACACTGATGGTACATAGTGTATATTTTTGATTCAGTTATTTTAAATACTTTTTTTAATTGTTCGGTGGTTGGCATGCACTTACAATACAGTACAATACAATACAATACTGGTTTTTCATGACGGTTAAAGATAAGAAAATAAAAATAAAATGAAAAGGAAACACGAGGTCAACCCTATAACCTTCCTAAAAAAGGAATAAAAAATACGTTAAATTATTACCTATCACTATTTACATATTCAAAAAAGACTTTAACCTCGCTTTAAACAGTTTAAAAGATTCTGCTTCAACCACACACTGCGGTAAATTATTCCATTCTTTCACTATGCGAATAAAGAATGAATATTTATAGGGGTTAACCCTTGCATTTTTCACGCCTAATTGAAAAGACTGGTTAGCTAGTATCCTTTTAGTTAGGGTTTAGGGGTCCTGTGATTTTTTGCAGACCATTGCATTCTTGGGCATTCACAGGAGCCCAGGCTCTTGGCATTAGTTAACAAATTTTTCTATAATCTGAGAATGATACACGAAGTACAAAGCAAGGATAGCAAAGATATGTAGTTTACTGTACCAGTACAGTGGAACTAAAAACCAAGAAAATAGTGTTTACAAGGGAATAATTGGAAACACAAATGGAAAAGAATCAAAGAGGCAATTACAGAAAATAATTTGGAAAGAAACGTAACTAATAATACTACAACTTAAGGCAGAAGCAGAAGCATGCTTCTGCTAAAGGTGATAAAAGAATAGAGAGATTTAAGACTCGCGTTTGTGACAAACGGCAAACAGAAGACGCAAGTAAAAGCAAAATAGAAAATGATCAGATAAAAACAGTTTATTTCAATTCTTATGGGTGACCTTAACATGGAACTATTTATTCAGATGAAGGAGTAAACAGTTGAAAAGTTGGTCACGTAGCCGAAATTCTTGTTTGCCGTTTGCGTACACGCCACTGTAAATCACTCTAACAGCAAAATGTTCTACAGAAAAATTACATGCTATGACAATCTAAAGTTCAACCTAAACAAATAAATTTCAAAACTAATTGCTACGAAAAACAAAAACTGCTAAAGCTCGATTCCAAAAGGAAAGGGAAATACCGTAACATGCCACTTGTTATTGATAACTACAGATCCATCAATGGGAAACTTGGAGAAAAAACTTGAGTTGAGGGCTGACACTCCTATTAGATAAATTCCATCCATCAATGGGAAACTTGGAGAAAAAACTTGAGTTGAGGGCTGACACTCCTATTAGATAAATTCCACTGGGAACGTGAATGCAGTATTAACTATCTCATAAGCAGTTGATACCCAGGTAGGTGAGCCACTCATGAGGGTTTCAAAACTACTCTGACCTTGTTTAGGACAACACCCTCAATTTTATTACCCTGTTTAGGACAAAGGACAAAAATGAACCCCATCTTGTTTTGGAGCCATTTATTTGTACTGTATACAGCAAATAAATTCACCCTTCCAAAAGGATTCAAGAAGACTCAGGAACACATGAAGGTAAATAACTACTGCTTATGATATTGCTAACAACACATTTGGGTACCCTGTGGGAAACCAACTGCAACAGAACTTACTTGGTAAAGATTGCCAATTTATAATTGATCTGGATGAAACTTTAAAATAACTTACAAACCAAATAAGACTAGGGATTACTGAAGAACATCAAGTACTACAGGAAGAAAATCCCTAAACAATATCATTTACTGAGCCTGGGCTATTTGTGGAAAAACTACTTTAAGTGTATACCTTTTTGAAACTCTGTGTTAGATCTAGGTTAACTTCTCTCATCTGAACCACCTACAAGATCCCTTTCCTCCTGAAACATTTTCAAAAGTCAAACACTGTAAGTGAAGACATTTTTTGGAAAGAAATAATGATAATGATGATGATGATGATAACAATACTTATTATTATTATTATTATTATTATTATTATTATTGAGTATAGAAAAACCATAATCATTCTGCCAATTTTATGATAACCTGAGATCAGGCATTATAATTTTTTGTTTCTTTGTTTCTTTGGCTCGAGAGGGAAAAAAATAACGCCTGATACATTTATTTAACAAGCCATCAATCGCCCCCTAATTTACATAATCTAACATCTGCTTGACCTGTCATGTTATTAGCCTGAAATTCATCCGATTGCTTCGAGTCGTTTTCTCCTCTCAACAACGTCTGAATCGACGAGCCGTTAATGCTGTCCAGTGACGTCACTCACTACCGAAAACCGGGTAGTGATTTTGATTGGTTGGTTCTTTTAATTTGCATAAATTATGACAAAATTATCCAAACTTATGCATTCAAAACATGCTCAAAATGGCGGACACCTTGACTCTGAATGTGGAAAGTTTTAAAGAAGCTGTTTCAAGCGTTTTATCGTTTTTGGGAATAGCAAAGTTGTATCCGCACCAGGAGAACGCGCTTTTCCAGTTTTTGTCGCGGAAAGATGTGTTCGTCAATCTTCCGACGAGTTATGGCAAGTCTTCGATATACCAAATTGCCCCTCTCGTTGCGAGTAGACTTCGAGACTTTCCGGAACACTGTATAATCGTGGTTATATCACCATTAGTCGCCCTAATGCGCGATCAAGTAGCCAGTCTTCAGAAGCATGGCATCGCTGCAGGATATGTCTTTGCAGAGCAGGAACAAACGATTTTGACAGATGTAGAAAGGGGCAAGTATAACATCGTGTTTGCCTCTCCGGAATCTATGCTGTCTGTGAATCGGTGGAGGAGAATGCTTACCTGTGAGTTATACAAGAAACACTTAATTGGGGTTGCCGTCGACGAGGCTCATTGTATTTCGCACTGGTATGTTGTACTTGCCTTTTGACTACTACGCATTATGTTAGCGGTATTATTTTGTGTCAAATTATTAGCTAATGAGTGAGCAGCATTGACTAGGTAAAAGGTCGTGTTTGTATATAGTATTTTTAATGACTCTAAATGATTTCACGTATGTAAATCTGACCTGTCAGTTTGTTCTCGGCCTTTATAAAATAATGTACCTATGTATTTCAGCTGTTGATTCGCAAATAAAATACACAGGAATGTTACGGTTTTAATTCTGTTATTTATCAGACCCCAGTTTTTCAACATTAGGTAAAGCTGTGCCCGAGGCCTTTAATTATCAAACCCCAACAAAAGTGCTCTGGGCCAAATAAGGAATTCCTCCTCTTCCCCCTGGGTTGTATCTACAAGTAAAATAAATTGTACTTTATATGGCTCAGTGACAGAATATGATTTTACCATTGGCCTGAATTCCGTCCAATTACTTCGAGTCTTTATTACTCCCTACCATTCCCACTTGAGTCAACAATTTTTTATGATTTTGGTTTGTGATGACAAACTGATAGCTTGCCAACTAACTAACTCTGTCATTACATCATAACATTTCCTGGTTGAGTGAATAAAAGAAACCCATTGATCATGACTCAAGCTTAATACTTGGTACCATTCACCTTTATACAGCCAAGTAAACTTTATTGCTACAAAGGGCTTCTGTGGTGTCTTGTCAAGAACAGTTTTGACCAAAGCAAACAGCAAGTAAAGACATCCAGGGCCAGGTTGTTCGAAAGTGTTTGAGATATCTAGGGTTAGTGCAAAAATTGCACTCAGACATGAGAGCTTAAAAACTAAATTCAGTGTACCGGTAATTCCCTAAAAAGAAGAGAGTCCAAGAGAATGCTTTCGATAAAAAGAAAAACAAACTTGGGTTAAAATTTAACCCCAGATGAGAAAATGAGTCAAATTCAGGCTATAGTGCTAACTGGTGTTCGAACAACTGGACCCTGAGCTATAAGTGGTAGAGTGATTTACTCATTCTATATATAAAAAAATTATAGTAGACTTCTAAGCCGTGTTGTTACTGTAATCTATTGTTTCCTTTTCTTTACTTGCACCTAACTGGCACCTGATCGATATTGTTTTATGGGTCTAGTAAAATCACTCTGTTTTTTTGTTTAAAAACAATTTTCAAATAGCAGTGATCGTTAAAACTGATCTCTTTTTTTAATTGTTGACATAATAGGTGCTATATCCATCTCCAACATTCCAACATTCCAAAATCTGTCCGACGTCCAAAGTGGTTAAAATTCATTGCTACATGTATATACGAGAAATGAACTATAATATAATATTATGTTCCAGCTACATAATAATAGTAGTAGTAAATAATAATAATGCTTCTTTTTATATACAGGGTGTCTTCTTCCCTTATGTTCTACACAATACATGTTTTGCTTTGCCTTGTGTCATTCCAGAAAGTATATATACTTCCAAATGGTGGGCAAAAGAAATTCCAAGGGGAGGGGGATCCAAAAGCAGGCAATTTCTGAGCAGGAGTTGAGGAAGGGGTGGGTTTTCAAGGTCTGTTTGCAAGGGGGCTCTAAGAAAGATTGTTGAGTTTACTTTGTAAATCAAAATAAACAGCTTTTTAATTGTGCAAGCTGTATAAATTTACTAACCAGTGTTTCAATAATGAATAAATATTATGCTTTCAGTAACGACCATTTAATGTAATCATGTGAATGTTTTTTTTTTAAGGCTTACAATTAGTTATTAGCTAAGAAAGTCTTTTCTACCGAGCAAATAGTATTTATTGAGCTATGTGTCAAGATTAATAAAAAAATTTGTTTCTCCTTTTGTTACAGAAACAATTCCATTTAGCCTGAATTTCATCCGATTACTTCGAGTCGTTATTACTCCCTCAGTTTGAGAGGAGAAAACGACTCGAAGCAGTTAGATGAATTTCAGGCTAAATTCTATTTAAATCGTATGGATTTTGTGACAGAAATATGTTTTCCAGGGAGAGGCCCAATGAAGATGAAAAACTCATGAACATTCCAGGGGGTGGGGGAATGAAAGGCATCTGGGGGTCTGAAGCAAAATTGCCCATAGGGTGGTATATAGATATTTTCTGGAACTACACATTAACAGTATAAGTATTATAACAATATCATTATAATTTATTAAGAAGTGCCTCTGTTCACTTTTGTTAGGGGGCAGACTGGAAATGCTGGTAATGTGGCTTTCCGAAAATGGTACTCTTTCTTAAATGAACTGCGTTCGTTGGTTTCCAATGGCTTGCCTTTCATGGCTTTGACAGCAACAGCATCAAAACATACAAAGAGAGAGATTTTTAGAGTGCTTGAGTTTACCACCCCTCATGAAATTGTTGAGAGTCCTGATCGTAGAAATATTGTGTATGTTTGTCAACAAATAGACAGTGGACAAGAAATAAACGACTATTTTGGATGGCTCATTGATGCAATTAAAGAGAAAGGCAAGGATGCCGAGCAGGTTTTAGTTTATTGTCAAACTGTGAAACAGTGTGCAAGTCTGTATCAATTGTTCTCCAATAACCTTGCCAAATGTATGTACTCTGACAAGTCATTTAACCCCCAAAAAAGGTTGGTAGAAATGCTGCACTCCAAGACACCTGAATCTGTCAAAAACACAGTGTTGGATTCTTTTAGAAGGGAGAATGGCTTGATCAGAATTTTATTTGCCACTATGGCATTTGGAATGAGAGTGAACACAAAAGGGGTAAGAAGATGCATTCATGTTGGTCCACCAAAGAACTTGGAGGCCTATGTTCAGGAAAGCAGACGATGCGGCAGGGATGGAGAACAAAGTCATGCAGTTGTCTTATTTAATGCTAAATTATGCACTCATGTAGAGGAAAACATGAAAGAGTACTTGGTCTCTAACGATTGCGGAAGGAAATTGCTTCAGCAGCCTTTCGATCAAACTACATCCTCCTTAGTTTCCTTAGTTTCCCAACCTTTGCTGTGACAACTGTGCAAGAAATTGTAAATGCAACCAACTAGGATGCCCACCAGCCCTTAACGTGCCTTTGGATAGGAATCAAGATGACAAACCCCTTACAATAAAGCGTGATGTCTCTACCGCTCAGAGGAAAATACTACGTAAAAAGTTAGAATGTTTACAGAAGTCTCTTGTTACAAAATCTATGCAAGGTGATCAAAAAGAAAGAAGGGCTACTGTCCTATCTTGCCCAAACTTTTTCCTTGAATTTACAAAGACTCAAATAGAACAAGTTTTGGAACATTGTGCTTGTATTGCCAGTATTGATGATGTGAAAAGAAGTGCTGAAATTTGGCAGCACAAACATGCTGTTGAAGTTTGTAAAATCTTCAGCGAAGTATTTGATGATATGATACACATGACCAGAAGTGAAGATAGTGATGAGAGTGAGGAGGACAATGATGATCGTGAAGATCTTAGTATATATTTTTAGAATGACACGTCATTTCTGGAAATGGTAGAGTCACTGAACTCACTTGACGAAACTGAACTCACTGTTGATGTTGAAGAAAATGTACATCAAGCAAACTACCCAGTGGTGCTTGACTCTGTCATACCAAATGTTCTGATTAATGAATAGTTTTACTAGTCATATGCAAGTAATGATTTCATCTGGCCTTTCTGTTTAGTGATATTAACTTTTTGTGTTTGTTTATCCACTTGAATAATGATGACATGTCGATGTTGCTGGTCTGACTTCGTAGAAATCCTGTGTAATGGTTGTAATTTCGCCCAGGGGTTTCAGTCAAGGCCTCTTCACTTAATAAAAGGTTTACAAGAATTCTAAGGTCCTGTGCATCTGATCTCTGAACATGCTTTCCAGATCGTTTTTTGATTTTGCATTCTGAGTCAAAGAGTTCAACAAGCTCGCGTGCAACTTTGCAACAAGAACAGTTTCTAGTGACTGCAGTTGTTGTAAGATTTCTGCCCATCTTCCTGTTTGCTTCCTTGATGTAATTGTTGTCATGCTCTAGGTCTAAATCTAGTGGAACATTACACCCAGCTGCACCATGATTATTTACTGACCTGTTCCACTTAAGCTCATGTGCCTCACATGGAGTCAGAAGGGCATTAATCTGGAATAAAAGGTATAAGGCTTCGAGGGCATACTTTGATTGACTTGACTCTTGCCAAAACTGAATAAGGAGAAACTTGCAACAACGAATGATCCTTGTCCCATCACCTTCTGCCACAGCATCCCTAAAGTTCAAATATAACAAGCCATGATCAAGGAGAGAACATTGATAATTGAACATGTCATCATTTGCCTTGTTTGGCTCCTCAAGGGTTTTTGGTTGAGTAACCTTGTCATGTGCATCAGAGGGTGGCTCATTGGAAAATTCCACCTGAACTTCATGAGTAAGTTCATGTTTTCTCCTTGATTTTCCATCATAGCGGAATGTCTTGGGACAGCCAGGAACACGACATGGGTAACGGCCATCAGGTGTCTGTGCTTGGTTCCTTTGCACCTCTGCTTGTTCTTCCTCAGTCAGTATCTTGTTTAAAAGCGAGTTTAAAGATGCTGAATCAATAACACGTGTCAACAACCTTTGCTGCAATCTGACGAAGGTACACCCTTTGGATAGCTACTGATGCTGTTGCCAAGCTTGGTGGAAAAGTGTTGCGGGTTGGCTTACCATTGATGTCACTCATGCCAAGCATGCTCAAAGCTGCTACAACAATCCGAGCTTTCACTGCTAAGGTAAACATTGCCCTGTCTGGGGAATATGCACTTGTCATGTCACTCTTCACATTCCTGCGGTTGATATTGTTTCTGTCACAAAACAATGTGCACTTGTCTCCTCCTGAGTCTGAAGAGTAATGTCTTTTGAAACACAGCTGTATTGAAAGATACGAAATACATACAAAAAATATTGGTGTGTTTTGCTCTCTCTCTTTCATAACCTCGCGTTCAAGCTAAAGACTCTTCTCAATAGGGCTATGTAGTTATGAAGTCTTTGGAACTTTTACTAAATTCTGACTGGTTAAAGCAAGAACCTTGAAGCAGTGGTACACATTGTTCTCATTCTATTTAGCCTTTATCCTAACCCCCCTCCCCCAAAAGGAATGTTTTGCACTATTAAAAGCAAAACAAAAGAAATTGATTACAGGAATTCATGTATATATTGATGTGAAGTATATGAAATAATTCATTTTTGAACTGCGGTTGTAGATGAGAATGAAGAATGATCATCGCAGTAACTTCTCCAATAGAAGAAGCCTGAAAACCTGATTTTTTTCAGGCTTCTTCTTTCCAATTGCTTAAATTGGAAAATTTGCTACGATGATCATTCTTTACTCTCATCATGTATATATTTTGGTAAATGAGATGTTCCAGAGTATTATGAGAACCATAGGAAATGCAGTATAAAAAATGTCCATTATAATTACCTGTAAAAAATTCATGTCTGCATGCCAGTCTGCAATTCCGATGTTTAAACCTGTCATTCTCTCCTCTTCTGTATAGCCATTTTGCTGCGCCATTAATGCATTGACAGCCCTGTCTACAGTGAGTTGATCACCAATGACATTTGCTGAAACAAAATGCTGATCCCCTCCTTCTCCTTTACTTGGTAGATAGGAATGTATCCTCTTCAGCACATTTAACATACCTTCAGTTGTGTTTTCATTTTCAAAAATGATACCAAGGCATGCCTGTTAGACCAGGAACAAAGTCAACTATAAGAAGAGGATTGAAATGCTTCTCAGGATGATCATTTTACCTTCCATGGGGTGGATATAAATATTTTATAATTGTATTTAGATTCATCATTTAAAGGGAAAGTTAATTCTAATCTGACCTTACTTTCACCACTCTACAACAATAATGATAATTATAGTACCCCTTCCTTCAGGTAAAGACTGAGACTGTAACACTCAAGGGAGGGGGATAGTTGTGTACATCGACTTATCATAGTACTCAGGTCAATGACCTCAATCTTTGATCATACATTTGGGCTGGGCTAAAAGAAGGATTAACCCGGGTTTAGTGCATAACTTGAATATGAAGTCTGAGAAAGAAACTTCATTCATTTAGTTTTCAATTTGATCACTGGATGCTCTAAAAAGAATAGTGAAAATTATATGAGAAAATGCATTTGAACTAAGGAAGAGAACCTTGGGTTAAAATGTAACCCTGGGTTAATGTTAATCAGCCTTCAAACAACTGGGCCCGGTACACTAAGAAGGCACTTTTGATGTAAAAAGGCTCTTATGTTGTACAATTGTACATAATTTTGTAACACTCCAAAAGTCAAAGATCAAGCAGAATTATCAGCACTTGAAGAAAAATATCACCAGATGGTATTTAATATTGTTTGGTGATTTCAAGCTAAAATTAACACAATTCCACTTTTGGGATTGAAATGAAATTGTGACCCTATGTTGTGGTTCAATTTTATCCTTGGTTAGAACCTAATATTCTTTTAGTTTTTGAGTATGTATGACAAAGTGTTTGACACTATTAAAAGGAAAAGTTGAATTCTATGGACCAAGTTAGAGTATGAACCACAAGAATTATTTCACAATAGTGTTATGTTGTACCTTTGTTGTCTTTTGACCCATCTCTTTACTGTACTCGTGACGAATATGTTTTTTAACAGCATCCTTTAGGAAACCCAGTGCTGGAATGCATTCAACAAGAACCCTTTGAACAAGGACAATGTAGTTTTCTCTGTTATTCAAGTGATCCCTTGCCTGAGGTAAAAGAGTGCCGTAAGGCACGTCATTTATGTCACAAACAGGTTTGGTATTGTCCAAGTGAGCACCTGACACTCTGTTAAGAACACAGTTGTGGTTGATCCAATGGTAATCCTTGTTTTGGCTCTCACAAGTCATCTCTCTAACATTCTGTCTTAGATCAAAATTGTCGATGACAAACTGCATGCCACTAACAGATGACTGATCCAATGCATTGATTTCATCTTCTACTTGCTTAAGCTGACTACTTGAAACTTGTTGTCTGTGTACTGTACTTGCACATGATTCTGGGAGACCTGAGGCTGCATCTCTAGAAGTTCTCGCAGTAGCTAAATCCTGGGTCATAGCTAGCCCTTCCCTCTTTTCTTCCAATTTGGCTTTTTTCGTCAAGCAAGCAGAAACCCTTTCTTTCCCTTCCTTCCCTACCTCATCAAACTTGCTCCCATACTCATTAAGCTTTTTTAGAAAGGTTAAGTTGCTGACTGTGACCTTTAATGTTGAAAGTCTTGAATAAAGTGCCTAAAAAAAAATACAAATAAAACACATGGGTTTCATTGCATTATAACTGAGAATAATAACAAAAAAACTTTTGCCATTTTGCTACCTTTTCAAGCATCTTTTAGTTTAACCTTTGTTTGTTTAAAGAATTAAAATTGATCTAATTACGTTAGTTATGCACAGAAAAGTATCAGAAAAAATTGAATAGACTATAATAGCTTTTCCCTCCTTTTAAACAAGTACAATCAGTGAGGGGGTTATCTCAGTTCGAGTACCTTTGTCTATGATAGTGATTGGTTTTAGGACAACCTAGGTAAAGAGGAAGTGCCCACATATAAGTACAGCCGAGCAGCTGTTTACCTGAGAACCACTGAACTTCATTATGACAGACATTAGGATCTGAGCCGCATTCAGATGGGGGGATCTCTCTTTTAGAAGAATACAAGCAGCCAAAGCAACACTTGGTAAGGTGGTCTTGACTTGGTCCCTAACTGCAGTAGTTAGCAGAGTGGAATACAGTAGTGGTGCCCTTGTGCTCAATTCTTTAGCAACATTCTCAAGTTTAAAGTTTCTCATGTCGTCTGTCGAAGTTTTTCTGAGAATGCTAGGGTTCTTCTTACTGGTCAGATTTCGCATTCTCTTGAAAGCTCTTTTAGAAGACACTGGATGATGCTCTGTTTCAGAGGCTTTATTTTGAAAATGGCAGTTGCCATCTGGGTGTATGTTCCACGTACAAGAGCTACTCCAAGCGCAGCAAGGTCGTCGTTCAATTCCCTTTCTCTTGGATACTTTTCACTAGGCCACTTGACACTGACCTTTAAAAGGTACAAAACAATCAGCAGATTTGTTGCCTTAAACTTCATCAGCTTTACGCCATCCCCCCCCTTTTTTTTCTTTTAGTGTCGAATGCGTTTCCTGATATTGGGTCGATCGGTTGGATTGAAAAAGAAAAGGTAAAAAAAAGGTCACAAGAAGTCTCAGTATAGGAGGCCCCGGTACAGGACGACGTTAAAAGTTAACATTCACATATTTTGATTAACAAAATGCACAATAATTATACTGTAATTTTCCTGTTTTTGTTGCGGTTTTTCTCTATTTTGTTACTATGCTCATTTTTCAGATTAAAAGAATTATTTCAAGTGAAAAATGATTCCACCACGTCCTTCCTTTTTTCTTTTTTTTTTGATAATTTTTTGGGTCGGTCGGAAGACGCTAAACGGAGAAAAAAAAGAGGATGGCCTTATGCATCGTCGTATTTTTCGCGCGGAAATTCAATATTTCGATACAGCTTTTTTTAAAGATTTCGCCTCCCGATGTTATGGCGATGTAATGAATAAAAATGGAATGATTTTAGGTTTCTCTAACCTTTTAATAGTAACAATAGATGTTGTTTTTAAACATAGTTAAGCTTGACTAAAGACCAACGTTGCGTGCAAGGTGCGTGCTTGTATTGTAGTTGTTTTCTACCAAAAATAAGAGTTAAGCGATAATGACAAAAAGATCGTTGTTCGATAATTCTCTTACCTTAACTATTCTCTTTGGCTTTTCCTGGGTCAATCAAAAAGGAGGCGGGTCAGGCAGAGTAGCTTTCTCTGGTGTACTGGCGCTTAAAGGGGCGAAATCTGCGGGACTATTCAAGCTTATGTCAGGGTATAAAATGCGACGTTTCTTCTTCGCCGGGCTTGCAAGTGGGCTGTCTGACTCGGTGTTTTCTTCCTTTTGTGTGTTTTCTTTGATGCAGGCACTCGAGCAGCTTAAGCTTCTAATCTCCTCCTCACACTTTTTAAGGTTTTCTTTAATTTTTCTGTATTTTTCGACTCTCCTCCGACAGGCCTTGCACAAGAAGCCATCGCTTTGGTGCGGGATTTTCAACAACTTTAATTCTTCCTCTAACCAACTGCACGAAGTGCTTTTTCCAGATATGGCGTATCTGTCAGTTGCTCTTAAAACGGGTTGTATACATACTTCGCACTTCATTTTACGAGCGATTACATTGTGTTTGCGGCTTTAAAGACTCGCTCGCAGAAACCCAGACTGAAGCCCTCCCTGGTGACATTTAGCGCGGGAAAAGCGGGAACTGATACATTTGCATAAATTAAATTTCGGGTAGTGATGTCACTGGACGGCATTAACGGCCGGTCGATTCAGACGTTACTGAGGGAGTAATAACGACTCGAAGTAATCGGATGAAATTCAGGCTATCATGTTATTAGCCAATCAGCGTTTACCAGACGGGAATCAAATTTTGGCAGGAATAATGTCTCTTTTGAAATCAATTTTAGGGAAAATAACATTTTTAAGTACGTTCAGATGGCGCTTCCTAAGAAAAATTTTTAAATGTTTTCTCTTTGTGATAAAATAGTGCTAGCTGAAGCTGCCGTACCTTTATTTAACAGCTTGAAATAATAAAGAATTTAGTGGTAAAAGCTCGTTGACTTCGTTCTGTGCCGAAGGCAGTGAAATCACAAAAGTAGGCTGAAGCACCTGTATTTCTCGAACTGAAAAGTGTTGTGAAAGCGAAGATCGCTCAGAATAATTCGCAGGTTTCTGAAGGAGTAATTACAGTCAAACCAGGTCAAGATTCCATTCACGAATGAATTATTTGAAGAGTGAACCCGATTGTTGCTTATGTAACTTGTAGCCAGTATCAAATTGCATTCAAATGATCGGTCAATTTTTGACTGCAAGTTTTAGTTTATGATGAAATGGAAAATATTTCAGTGGATGAAATTTCTATCTGGACTTTTTTCAAATTCAAGAAAACTGAGCCGCCAGAAATTTCATAACGAACTTGCATATGTATTCACTGCTCATTGCACAAGCAAGAATGCAGACTGAAATCGACAACAACTAATGAATGGCGGTGTTTTGGCCAATCGGACCTGCGCAAATCATCTGTATTGTTTCCTATCCAATGATTCAGAAAAAAGTCCAGATTCTGGCTCTTTTTGCATGTGCTCTGTAAAAGAAATGTATCATGCCCCCTAATTTTATGACAAACCCTACAACTTTCATATCTCTCACCTCTGTGTTAACTTCAGTTTCGAACTCCTCATCTGATTCACTTCCGCTCTCCTCCTGTAATATTCAGAATTAACCAAATTTAGTTAAAGTTTTTTAGTAAAAGTAAAAAAGATAATAATATGCATGGTTACATTCATATTGATTTGTTTAGGAAAACTTCGGCAGTAAAACTAAGGAGTATTTATGAAAGTGAACGTTACATCTATTCAATTGTTTTGAAAGCTGCATATGCAAGGCTAGTGAAAATATTTGTACCATTATCACTGTTTTCGTTAATTTTAGGTTACTTGAGACATTTAGATTTACTTAAAATAATGTATTGTTTTAGTGCGTACGTGTAATATATGGGTTATTTTAGGTCATTTTAGAGACCATTGTAGCTCATTTAGGTCATTCCTTCTTTTAGTAATAAACTTAACCTACCAATTTATATTTTATTTGTATATGAAAAATTTACCTCTGGTATCAATTCTAAAGAATTTCCAGATGAGAAATCCCTCTCTGAATCACTTTGATGATCACTGTTAACTCCCCCCTGAAACAATTATTTCAGTGATTATAAAAAATAATCCTAATCAATTGAGAAATTAAAGCCATATTTATAAGTTTTAAAAAAAGCAAAACAAACAAACCCAAATAAAACACAACAATAAATCTGATGATACTGTCTGGGGAACAGTAAACTTGAATTTTAAACCCCAATTACGCTTACCGTTATCTGTCCGCTGTTCACTTAAAAAAATTCTGTATGCCTCATGAAAAGTCTTAAAAATATGCCTGAGAGCTTTGAAACAGTGACCGTGGTCATTTAGGTAATCTATCTGCCATTTTTCTCAAGAACAATAGTGTACGAGAGTTTTACCAACCCTACCCCTCACAGTTTTGTGACGTTGAGCAGCACTACCAAATTAGGGCTAGGGCTACCAAATAAGGTAATGAGCACGTGCGTGCTGAGTAAGTGAGAATGGGATGAGTCGTAAAAATATTGTGAGCACGGGTTTTCCTTGGAGGTTTTTTCATCGAGTTTCGTGAGAGTTTGTGAGTCGGATTGAAGTGGAATAAACCAGGAAACCGTGTTATTGTGAGTTCTATGGGCTGTGTTATTGTTTAGCTCATTTTTGGTGCCGAGACCAGGATGCGAGGAAGAAATACACAACGCTAGCGAGACAGTTTGAGAAGCGAAGTGATCCTTTCTCGGAGTCAAAACAAACATGAGCGACAGTGAAGAACCGAGCGACGAACAACAACGTCTCATAAAAGAGATCGACAAGGAAATTGAGAAAGTCAAGTACTTCATGGAGGAGATAGATGAACTGATCGAAATTCAGGATTATTCGGAGATGGAAATAGTCAACAAACGAGCTGTGAAAATCATTACAGAGCTATCGGATCTTATTTCACAGACAGAAGAATTAAAAATTGAGCGAGGATTGTCGCCTCGGATGGTGAGACAGTGGAGAAAAGACATTAAATCAAAGTATGCAGCATCTGTTAGCGAAAACGAGAGGCTTAGAAAGTGTTTAGATGATAGAGAGGAAGAAATTACGCGACAAAAAGAAGATTTGAAGCGGGAGCAACAGTTGGAAGATGAGCGGCGATTGTACGTGTTACGTGAAAAGCAACAGGAACACGAGCGTGAGTTGTGGAAGGAAAAGCTTGAAGCTGAATTACTTGTGGCAGAAAAGAAATTAGAAATGGAGAAAACAGCTGTTTCCAGCACCACAAAGTTACCGAAATTAAAGATAACACCGCTCAAGGGTACCGCGGCGACTGTATAAGATTTGAAAACATGTTCCTGACGCAAGTTGACGCCAAGTCGATTTCCGATTTAAGAGAAATTCGGGTACCTTCTGGAATCCGTTAGCCCGAAGGTGAGAGACAGAATTGCAAATTTAAAGCCTGGAACTGTTGGTTACAAGACAGCGTGGGATCGACTAAAGAAAGAATATGGGCAAACAAAGGTCGTCATGAATGCGCACATGGAAGAAATCCTCAATTTATTCCCAGTCAAAGGCTCCAATTATTTCAAGGTGCAAGAATTCTACGAGAAACTGAGTAGGAACTATGACGCGCTTCAAACCCTCGAAGAAGGCCAAAAGTTACAAGGGTTTGTTATGACTACGCTCAACAAGTTACCTCACGTAAAGCCCGATCTGGTGAGAGTGGATGACAGTTGGGAGGAATGGTCCATGGAAGACCTGATTGATGCTCTGCAGAAGTGGCTTAGGAGAAATCACGTCGAAAACAGCAAATGCGAAAAACATCTGTTCTCACAGAAGCAAGGAGATAAGCTGAAACCCTATTGCCTTTTCTGCCGAAAACAAGAGCACTGGAGTGAGGACTGTACCCTAGTAACAGCATTAGCGGACAGGAAGAAGTTCTTCATAGATCACAATTTATGCTTTAATTGTGGAAGGCAAAACCACAGAGCACACCAGTGTCGTAGGCGTGGCTGCGCCAAGTGTAAACACAAACACCATAGAAGCATATGCGATAGACCGGAGAGGGAAAGCAGTAATCCAGATGGAGTGTCATTGACGGTCTACTCCAATTATGCAGAGGAGAAAGTGCTACCTGCGATTATTCCCGTCAGTATTGGGGGGCAAGTGTTT